TTTAAGTTTTTAAAAAAATGTTTATTTATTTTTGAGAGAGAGAGAGAGAGAGTGGGGGAGGGGCAGAGAGAGAGGGAGACACAGAATCCGAAGCAGGCTCCAGGCTCCGAGCTGTCAGCACAGAGCCGGACGCGGGGCTCGAACCCACCAACCGTGAGATCACGACCTGAGCTGAGATCCAGAGTCAGACGTCCAACCGACTGAGCCACCCAGATGCCCCACCTGTACTACTGTTGTCCATAAAAGGGACAAAATATTTAAAATTAAAGGTTAGAATTAAAAAAAAAAACAATATTGGAATTTGAAGAAAAAATGCCTTTTGTGATATTCTACATTGTCCTTATTTTTTCTTTCTTTCTTTCTTTTTTGCTTTTTGCAGAATTGTCTTTAAAGTAGAACAGACCCCTCCTGGAAAATGACCCAGAACAAGGATCAAGGTGTGCACGCGAAGCTGAACTGGTCCATACAGAGAAACGCTCCTCCAGGAGTGTGAACGGGGCATGACACGGAGCCTCTGGAGACGGCACAGATGTGCTATGGATCCCTGAACATTCGTTCTAGGGCCCCCGCGACTGCTGTCATACTGGAAATAGATTTATGTGGCCCTTTAAGTGACGCTGCCTCCGTCAAACAATCATGCAAGTTTTCTTTTCAACTGACGTAATTTAATTTGGGGGGTTTTAATTACCTTTCAAACTGGCATTGGGCGCCCGGGGGGCTTCCTGCTCTTCGTTGTATATCTGCACGTCGCATTCATGCGACCTCATCAGAAAAAGCCCTTAGATGCGATTCTCGTTCATCTAACTTTGGCTGATGTGACGACAGCCACCTTCAGGGGCGTCCCGTATATAACGTCCCCCTTCGGAGTCAGGGATGTTTTGGAGGCTGTCCAAAACATTTGTAAAGCTGTGCTGTGCATTCACAGAGTGACGCGGGGTGTTTGCATATGTGCTGCTTCTCTCCTGAGCAGTTTTCAGGCCCTTGTCATCAGCCCTGCTTGCTCCAGGTGGGCACGGCTCAAGTCCAAGATCTACGCACAAATCCTGCCCCTGTTGGTTTACTCCTGGGCCAGCAAGGTGCTAAGCAACACGTGGGTCATCATAAGCACTGTGGTCACAGGCAACTCCGCTGGGGTCGGACCCGTATATTCCCCGAAGTTCTGTAAAACAAGGCGGTTCGCGTACCATCAGGCAATGTTGTTGCGAACTGTCATGTTTATGCAAGACTTCTTCTTTTTGTTCCTCACGATTTGGACCAGTTTCTACATGATGACCGTCCTGTTCAGGCACCACAAGACAGCCCTGCGGATTCACGGTACCAGCCTCTCGCCACGATCTTTTCCCCGAAACAAAAGCCACCCACGTCGCCTTCTGGCTAGTAAGCTGCTTTGTTTTCTTTTACGGGGCTAACACGTGTCTTTCCATTTATATGGGCTCTTTCTACGAGAAAAACCTGATGCCGGAGAGGGAGAGCATCACTAGTTTTCTCTCGTCTTGTTACCCAATGGTCTGTGCTTTGATCTTGATTAAATATGATAATAGGGTTTCCAGATATGCCTGTGCCTTTTCAAATATGATCCTTTTCCCTTGCTCACAACTGGGATTTCTACTGCATCTAAAAAATACTGATAAAAATTGTTTTAATTGCAAGAGAACACGGTGTTAGAATTGGTATGATTTTAAAAGTTTACCTATGTCAAGGAGCGCCTGAGTGGCTCAGTGGGTTAAGCGTCTGACTTTGGCTCAGGTCATGATCTCATGGTTTGTGAGTTCGAGCCCTGTGTCGTGCTCTGTGCTGACAGCTCAGAGCCTGGAGCCTGCTTTGGATTCTGTGTCACCCTCTGTCTGCCCCTCTGCCACTTGCTCTCTGTCTCAAAAATAAGTAAACGTTAAAAAAATATTTTAATAAAAATTTATTCATATTGAGAGAGAGAGAGCAAGCAGGGGAGGGGCACAGAGAAAGGGAGAGAGAGAGTCCCAAGCAGGCTCTGTACTGTCAGTGTGGAGCCCGACTCAGGACTCCATCCCACAGGGCTCGATCCCATAAACAGTGAGATCATGACCTGAGCTGAAACCAAGAGTCCAACGCTTAACCAAACCACCCAGGCGCCCCTAGAATTATTATGAGTATTAGACAGCAGTCTCGATTACATCTAGGTAAAAAATTTGAGAAATATGAATCCATTTTGATTCAATCTATGAAAATCTCTTCAAGAATAAAAGAGCACATTGTGGATGAATACGTACAATATAACGTACATATAAATTCTAAAAACGTGGAAAATTATATCAATAAAAAATTACAATGCAGTAAAAATAAAGAAATGTAATTAATGGTAAAAATCAAATTCAAGAGAGTGTTATCTTTTTTTAAATTTTTTGATGTTTTTATTTATTTTTGAGACAGAGAGAGACAGAGCATGAGCAGGGGAGGGGCAAAGAGAGGGAGACACAGAAGCAGAAGCAGGCTCCAGGCTCTGAGCTGTCAGCACAGAGCCCGACGCAGGGCTCGAACTCACGAGCTGTGAGATCATGACCTGAGCTGAAGTCAGACGCCCAACTGACTGAGCCGCCCCGGTGCCCCCAAGAGAGTGTTATCTTTAAGGGGTTTGGTAGAAGATGCAAAAAGTTGGGAACCACATTTTCATTTGTAATATTTTGTTTCTAGATTGGGCTATGTATCTATTATTAACAT